CCCATCAGCTCGATCGGCTATTTGTTAACAACAATTGGAAAGTTCCCAGACCTGTTTCAACCCTGCCTTCGCTCGCGTCATTGGTATTTGTCGAACACTGCTTGTCTCTGTTCGCATCACTCAGGATTACGGCTTAGATGATGGGCGTGCTGTATGAGGTGAACGAATCACTCTGTCCCTATTCCCGAAGTCGTGTTAATATGAAAGATTGCAAGGGGTGTGGAACAGGAAGAACGCTTTGGATACTTGTTCGGAGTTCCTTCCACCGTAACGTTTTCCGTTGGAATTAACAGATGACACAAACGTGCGCCACGCTGCTGTCATCACACCGAAAGCCTCTTCTTGCATGGGCTTCCGCATGCTATTAGCATATTGGGAATAGTTCTTTTGATCACGGCACACAGCGCATAAATAAAAGAATAATAATAATCACCTGTATCACCTGTCGTCCCGTTGATCGTCGATTTGCTCGAGCGGGCGCCAGCAACGTCTCCATTCGTCCCTGTCGCGTGCTAGAGTTGGTCCAGTGGATCCTCCTTGCTCGTATTAGTATTAATTATATTTATACGCTCTGTGTTGATTGCAATCGCTCTAACTGCATAATCGAGTTATTTATGCGCAATTATTATTATTATTATTATTATTATTATTATTATTATTATTATTATTATTATTATTATTATTATTATTATTATTATTATTATTATTATTATTATTATTATTATTTATTATTATTATTATTATTATTATTATTATTATTTATTATTATTATTATTATTATTATTATTATTATTATTATTATTATTATTATTATTATTATTATTATTATTATTATTATTATTATTATTATTATTATTATTATTATTATTATTATTATTATTATTATTATTATTATTATTATATTATTATTATTAATTATAACATTATTATTGCAGTAAACTGAGTGCGTTTCATGCCGCGCTCATCAACGCTTGAACTAACAGACGAACGAACATCACCGAATGCTCCAGCTACGTGTACCTAGGTCGGGAAATCAATATGATGAACGATCTAGCTCCAGAGCTGAGCAGGAGGAAACGAGCGGCTTGGGGAGCGTTCAAGAACATCGAGGGAGTAGTGAAGAAGACGAAGAACATCCGGCTCCGTGCCCACCTCTTCGATTCCGCTGTCCTTCCTGCCCTAACCTACGCCTCAGAGACTTGGACTCTGCGCAGGCAGGACGAGCATGCGGTCAGCGTTATCCAACGCGCTGTCGAGAGGACGATGCTAGGAGTAACCCTATACACGCAAGTGCAGAGGGGAATCCGGAGTTCGGAACTACGCCAACGATCGAAGATCAGGGACGCTGCCGTTTTCGCCAAGGAATCAAGACAAGCGAAACCG